AACACTTTCCAAAGCGGTTTTTTGTCCATCCTATACAGTGTCGGCAGCAAACCACTTCAAATTTGGGATGCAAAGGTGCGAAATGGCCACATTAAGAGGATCACAGATAGTGATATCAATTCCCTGGTGTTGGAGATCGCAGGCGTCAACATCAGCACCACCTATATCACGTGTCCGGCAGAACCCCACATGACCCTGGGCATCAGACTGCCGTTCATGACAATGATCATCAAAAACCTCAAGAGGTATTTCTCCTTCGAAGTGCAAGTGCTAGACGATAAAAATTTTCCCCGACGTTTCCGAGCAAGCAATTACGTGACCACCACGCGAGTAAATCCGTTCAACTGCACCATGCCCCTAAGTCTGGGCGACAGCTGGAAATGCATATCTTTCAACTTGTCGGACTTCACGAGAAAAGTGTACGGCACGCGGTATGTGGAGACCCAGCGAGTGCAGATCAACGCCAACTGTAGGATCAGGAGGGTTTACTTCTCCGACCGAGTCTACTCCAAGGACGAGCTTCCGGGAGAGTTTAAGATTTTTCTGCCCATCCAAGATCAGCCGACGAGTCAGCAGGCCAGTCAGCAGGCGCCACCAGTCGCCCAGACCTGATCAAACTTTCTGGTGGATTCTGAGCATTCGAGGAACATACAAGTTCAACACAATGGGCCGAATTTCGTAGACCGTGGGAGGTTTACAACGTTCTCTTGCAATTCAAAATTATGTTCTCAACCAAGACTGTAATATAAGGGTTAACTTAACTTGGGATGTTTTTTTTATTTTTTAAAGTTAAGACAAATTAAATGAAATTTCGCAACATGTTCTATAAACCTAGTTTTTCAACACAAAGTAGATCCTTTATGACATAAGAAAAATCCTAAACTATATGGAATATAGATTAAAATGTTAACACTAGGTACAAATAAGGACTCTTTATTAAAAAAATTAAAAGAAGACCAGAACTATGAAGTTGTCAAGAGAGATGAGGAAGAAGGCAGCATCGTGACATTATGGATGTCAACTGCCATGACATCACCAGCTTACAAACACAGTTATTAACAAAGTTCAATAAAGTTATGAAAAGAAAAATCTTCAATGGCATTGTACTTATATTATACTCTCATCACCATCAAACAGGGAGGTTTTTTTTGTATGTCAAGCTGAATTTTGTGTGGCTACGGAAAATGCTTAAAAGAATTGTTAGCTACAATATTGTATCGTTAGTTCGTGGATTATCTTGGGGTCATGTGACTCACACTTGTTGCCCAAATGTAATTTTAAAACCTTTGACATTTCTAAGGGGGAAAAAATCCTTTCAGCCCTTGCAAGTATTATTACACCATTGCAGTACTGAAACTCAGTTTTCGTACCGTGTTTCATTCTCATGACAAACTAGAGTTTCAGTGGAATGACATCAACCTTTCGGCCACAGGAGTCATTGCCAGTAAACTCATCAATACTAAAAATTCAAACACACAAATACCTGACAAATTCACAAGCTTTTAATCATCAACATATTCAAGAGTTTTGTTTTTTAAAAAGAGAAGACACTGAAGAGGTAGCAGCTGTAGAGAAAGGAAAAAAGAAGAAATACACATTCCTCTCTGGCCATGTAGCCACACAGGGCTGTTTTTAAGTAACAACCTCAGGCAATATTTAATTAAATAATGAGGCAACATATTCAACATCAAGGATGCCAACTGTAATAAAACTCCAAAGAAGAGGAACCAACATGTTGCACCCTAATGTGAACAGTTTGTCTGGACGTCAGTGCAATTCCGATTCTGTTGTTGGCGCCTGAACGCGCAGCTGTTGTCTCAAACTCGGGAGAAAACACCGCAGACTACACAAAAGAACAAAAGCGCTGGTCCAAGCCCAGAGTTTGACATTTGGTTGCAAACGTAGCCTGACCTTCAATTTTAATGTTACTTTGTTGGCAGTGTCAATGTCTGTATTGTGTTCAGAAAAGCCAGCTAATGTCCAAAGTTACTAGACTGGCTGGAGACCACGGCGACCAGTGAAGTTTCTCTTCAAAGGCCGCTTGTAATAAAGCACTCTTTTATCTTCTATTACAGGAGCCAAGTCAAGAGGGGTAAAAATGTAGACATGCCATTGAATCAAAACACAACAGCTGTAATAAAAGCAAGCTTTTATCGAAGGCATTATTCATTTATTAACAGTAAACACACACACACACACACTCTCTCAGTAGAAAAATCAAAAACACAAACCACACACAGAGTTCACCACAGCGCTCTGTGTGTGGTTTGAACAAAACATTAGTAAATTAATAACAGGAACAGAACATTATGACAAATAGAAAGAGTGAAATAATAGAAAGTAAAAGGTTCAACTCCAGCTCACAAACATAATGAACAGATCTTTAACTCAGTTGCTGGAACGTTCCAATGTTTCCTATTTGCTTCTAAAGCCAGTCAGCTATTTGAATAGCTGACTGGCTGAAGAAGTTCCTCTGTAATTCAGTAGAGGGCAGCACCACTGTATAGCCCCTTTTTGCACATCAATAAAAGAAGACAGAGGCACTGATGTGTCAGGTTGCTGTTGACAAGCAAGCTCAACAGTCTTCCTGGGGCAGAACATTTTTGGTTTCTAAAACAAAGCTCACTTCCTTCTACAGTTATTACCCCAGGTGCCATAGTGAGAACAAGTTTTGGTTTATTGTTTCTTTTTGCTGTTTCCATGCAAGAAAAACCGGACATAACTGGAGGTTATTAATGCCTCTGTGCCTGCACAAGAGAAGCATTCTTCCGAGGCAGACGCGCTAGCCGCTATGCTATGGAATCAACATCACTTTCCTTTAGAGCACTGTGCAGCTGAGTTTCTCACAGCTAAGTAGAAGCTAGCATTTTCTGTTTATACAGTGGTTCACATTAGCTGGAAGTAACTAGAGTTCTGCCCTGCAGCTACGTGGCAGCCTGTGGCCTGGAGGCAAGTGGTTTGAGTTTGCGACCAGAGGATGTTACCTGGAGGATGATGGAGTAGAAAGGACTGGTATGGGAATCCTATTTATCCCACGGTTTAATTAGACTGTTCATTACAGTCACATAAAACATGTTTGAAAATAAAATAAAAAATGTGGAAAAGTGCAGTGAAAGACAGAGAAACCGACAATAACACCCACTCAATGCAACTGTCTGGACACTGGTCAGAATTGAGAGTTGTGGTTCCACACAGCTGTTCGGCAGCCCCAACACAGCACCCCCCACACCCTTACACAACTGCCCACCACATTTCCAGAAGCCCCTGGCAGAGGATGTGACTGTGAGGCCTTTAGTGGGCAACTTCCTGTGGAGTGCAGGAAATAATTTGACATGGGGATTAAACAGCAAAAATGAAAAGAGCAGGAGGACATCAGACCTCTTCCTCTCAGCTTCTGAGGAACGTCCAGTCAAAGTTTCCCTTGAAATGTGTTGGAAGAGAAGTTACATCTGCTGCCTTTAGATTTGGGGCTGTTTTTGGTCTTAAATACAGGAGTCAGTGCTGAGATTGTCAAGGAGAGGATAGAGCCGACACTGCAAATGATTTTAAAAGAAAACTTATTAACCTATGGTCTTACTTATATTAATAATACTGACCAGTGGACTGGTAGTTTTAAACAAGGGGTCACCAACCTGGTAGCCTCCATGGACTACCTAAGGTGCCCGCAAGGTATGTTCTAAAAATAAAACTAGTCAACAAGGGGGTCAAGAATTGCAATTCCACTTGCAATGATATTCAAATGGGTGCAATGACGATGGTAAGAAGAGTGTCTGCTATTTTAAGTGCCAGAAATAATCATTATTACATTGTTCAAGGAAGTCTGTATCAAATAAGTAGCTCTTCATGATTACTAAGTACCCTTGAAGTAGCTCTCAGTTTCAAAACGGTCGCTGACCCCTGGTTTAGAGAATAAAAAAACATTTTTTACCGCAGGTGGCTTCTCTTTTGAAAAGGCGTTTGTAGACAGTTTCTCAGTTATTCTCTGAACAATTAGGAAAGCATCAAGTGATAACAAACTGCAAATGTTCAACGCCCACCAGCCATAAAAAAAATGTAGCCTGTGAGGAAATCAGAAAAGAACAAATGTGATGCAAGAGGGGGAAAAAAAAAAAGTTCCTATTTTGACTTCACTTTTTTTGGACAAAATCAACATGATGACAGAAATCATTTTTGTCCAGTCCAGTTATTTGTTTGCCTTTATTTATCTTTTAATGATCTTTCAAATTTCTAATGTTTTTAAGGTTCTAAACAGGGTGTGTCAAATATAAGGTCTGCGGACCAAAACCGGCCCATTAGGTGGTTAACTCTGACTGCTTGATTAATTTTGAAAGTTAAACAAAAAGCACAAACACTCCTTCTTCGTAATGTTTTGTAAAATGATATTCATGAAATATGAATATTTTGTAATATACTTTTATTTTTTTGCATGGAAACTATAGGCAAAAACATTGTTTTTTTATAGGAAATTATGTCATGATCGTACTGGTCCAGCCCACTTGACATCTAATCAGACTGTATGTGGGCCCTGAACCAAAATGCGTTTGACACCCCTGTTCTAAATCATCAAAACACTTATTAATTGTGTAGCAATGGTGTAATTTTTGTCTGAGACAAAAAAATTGTAATAACTTTCAAAAAAATTATAGAAAGTTATCACATTTTAGGCTTCAGGAAAAACTAAAAATGTTAAAAGTCCTACTTGCACAGATAAAACAAAACATTGTTTTCAACATAAACTATTAAAGTATAGTCAAATACTGCCTGTGAAAATTTGTAACAAAAGCATTTCTTTCAACTGTCAAAAATGATTTTGTGTTTGTGAAAAGACGCATTTAGATGGTTGTATCTGAATATCTTGAAGCTCTCATAAAACCTTTTCAATTTTGTTTTGTGTGGAGTGGGCGGGGCCTGTTCTTCTGGAGTCACTTTGACATACTGCATTGGCAGACGCTGTATAAGACAATTTGAGGAAGTGTTTGTGTGTGCGTGTGTTTGCTCAATCCATCCTCAGTGATGTAGTATGACATGAAAACTGATCCAAACCAACATCCACAGAACGAACCCCAAATGTGAATCCAGCATGGTGGATTCTATTAAACCTGAGACGGAGCCAAGCCTCTGGGCTTTTCATACTGTAATATTTTCACTGTACACCACTAAATAGTCTACTGCAGCGGGTTTCAAACAAGGGGCCGCGTGGGAGCACGGGAAACACCTCAGAAAATTGGAGGGAAGATAGGAAAATAAATAAATAAATAAAAAAGATCTCATTATTTATTCTGTTATATTTATAACTATTTGTCCTGAACCACACAACACATACACGTCATAATCATTGGAGTCTCAAGTTTCCGATGGTACTTGAACGCACCTCGTGTGACCACTGCTACGACGTCATAACCGCTAGGTATAAAAAAAATATTTACCTAGCTCTGCTCTTTAAGCTAACAACGGCTAGCTAGCACAAAATGGAGAGGTTTTTGACAAGAAAACACCTGAAGGAGCAGAGCAACAGATTATTATTAAGTGTATTATTCAGTTTGGAAAACAAGTTCTCTAATAATTTTCTTATGCTAAACAAATTTAATATATATTAAATAGTTACTCCATAGCCATAAGCTAACGCTATTTGGGGGGGCCTTGGAAGGGATAGGTTTGTGCATTGTTAGCAACGCCCGAGTTACCCCAGCAGAACGAGCTCATCCGTGACCACACGTTCAGCGGTAGCTGTTGGACTAATGAATAATTGATTTCAGTCCGTGCTGTAATCAAAGTACAACGAGGTGATAATTAAAGTTACAGCTGCGGCGTCCTTGCTTTTGGGCTCAAATGACCGCAGTGATCTCCAACAGTGAGTAAATGTACTTGAATACGGACTTCGGACCACAAGATCGTACGCCTTTGTGAAGGTGACCCGTGTGATATGACAACAGATGGTTCTCAACAAAGGCAACATATACTGGAATTAAAAAAGGACTTTTAACACATTACAGAGAAATAAAATAACGCAATCAGACCCAGTGTTAATCAGTTATACACTTGTGCCTTATCAGTCTCTCTCTGTGTACAAATCAATCTTTCTGTCTTTCCCCTCCTCCACAGTGGCTGGGTCTGGCCGACTGAGCCTCTGGCTGAAGCTGGGCTGGTGGGAAAAATAGGAATGTGGTGATTAAGACTGGGCCTATATGACCTCCCAGCTAAAAATACGCTGTTTACTCAAGACCACTGCCAAAAAACTCTGGATTCAGCAGAGGGGGGAGAGGGTGGGTCATGTTTTAAGAAAGGAGGAGGAGATAGACGAAGAGGATGTGTGAGACAGGAAGCGTGAGATTATGAGTAACAGAGTGTGCGATAAACAAAATGACTTTTATTATCTTAATGAAAGTCCACCAGATAATAATAATAAAAAAACGGCTGGATCACTGACAGCCAGGCTAACGGACACTCAGACAGGTAATTAGCCGGGGCCCACTTCTGAGCTTTCCATCCAAACACTTATGTGATTCATGGATTCAACCCCCCCCAACCCCCCACCCCCCCTCACGCAGACGTACTGTACTGTATATCCACACACACACACACACGAAACACATTATCAAACACTGGCTTCTTTCAGCTGTAGCTTGTCTGGCAGCTCGGCCCAAAAATATGTCAAGGTTTGACAGTCATCAAAAAAGGAAGACGAGGAGAGAGGCTTCAGGAAGCAGATGGAACAAATGATGAAAAGAGGTGGAGGAGCGCTCAAGTGTACACTTTCTTTCTGCTGCAGTTTGCACTCTGCGCCCTGCCCTGGCCGTGAGATGTAAGATAGATCTGAGCGTTAACGCAGCAGGAGAGGTCAGGCTGCTTGGTTTGGTTCTGTTGACTGTAGAAATGTTTGTCCATCGCACAGCTATGACGGCGCTTTCGCACGAAACGCATTTATTCTTTTCCATATACGTCATACTTTACATACAGATCCAAAATGATAAAACTGATGCAATTATTGCGTCATAGTATTTTGGCACGTGTGACATCATTTTTTTTCACGTTCCAAAAAAAGACACGAAACGCAGCAACATTTCAACACAACACCCAGTTTCCAGTTATACTCTTTCCGCCAAACAGAGCCATTAGCATAAAAGCTAAAGCGCTAACAGAAGTCTGTTCTGGAGATTTTTAATACGTCTTCTGGTTATTAAAACCACACCTGGTCTGATTATAGGAAACTTGAAAAAGATAATATCCGCTAAAGACACATGGACCATTTCCAACCTGATTTCAATTAGTAAATCAGTAAGCTAGGACGGAAATGTAGCGGGCTTGAATAAAAAATAAAATAGTGGTTTGGCTGTACCGTGTACTACACATTACTTTCTTCTCCCTATGGACCGCTGTGATCAATATCACTGTAAGACAATAAGCAGAAACGAAATCTCTTCCTGTTACACGAGAATCAAGGCAAGTCAATATGACACAAACGGCTTCATTTCAACACCGTAACTTTTCGAGACCTGACACGGCTCTCCTCTGGGCGTGTTTGCTCAATGACCAGGTAATGAACAAGCGCTGCGCTCTCTAATCTGTGCACTGGGTGCAGTGATTACAGCCCAGCTGTTAACACGATACCTTCAAAACCACCACCACTATCCTGTAAAAGTGACATGCACACGCAATCACACTCCTTAGACACACCTCTTTTGGGAGTGCTGCCGCCGCTACTGCCGGGGCAGGTCTGAGTCACCCAGTCCAGTTAGCCTTCCTACCTCCTTCACTGCACACTCTCTTCCTTTCCTTCTTCCTTCCTCCCAGAGGCAGCTCTGCTTTCGTGGAGAGCGGCTGCAGACAATCATTTATTCATCTCTGTACGATTGTACCACAATTGCAGCTTTGTGACTAAGTGAGTTTGAGTCTGCAGATGTCCGGCAGAGATTGGGGACGAGGGAAAAGAAGTGGTGTGGGGGAATGAAAGGGTCTGATGCCAGAGATAGAGGGTAGCAGAGCTGAGTGACTTCACTGTCTGAGATCACGTCCCCATTCTAACGGTCTGAATCGAGCCCTCCATTAATCGCTCCGTCACTTTGTCACTAACATTCACTTGTAAACCACATTAGCATTTCATTATATGAGTCACACAGTGGGTCCCTGTAACTGGACATCTGAACGTAACGACAAACCTTGGAAGTGGTTACTGATATAAGCCATGTCCAAGGTGCAGGCCTGAGACCGGGCAACAGTTCTTACTGTGTGACCTAACTGCACTTTGACCTACCATCGATGTGTTAGGCTCTGGCGTCAGTGGCTGTATATCTATCTGTTTGTCTGGATGTCTTGTCTTTTCTTGGTTAACGTTTACACTTTCTTGTCGCTAGCTGTCATTAGCCATCATTGGCTGGCATTAAACTTTATGTTTGTATGTGTTATTTCTTGTCTCTGTTTAAGCTAAGTTTATGTTAACAGGTCTTATCTTATGGCTAACTTAAACATTTGCAGGCAGCGTAGTTAAGCTTAGTTTTTAAGAGGCGAAGAAGGGTTAGGGTTAAGTGGTTTAGCTAAGTGGTTAGCTTCTGGTTTACTCAAGATAGCTGCTTCATCTATAACTTTCAAAACGTTAAGTACATTTTAGCTATGCATTTACTAGGTGTGCTAGCTATAATTAATTTTGCTTTCATTGTTTACCTTTAGCCAAAATGTTTATTTTATTTTTTACTGTTCATTTTGTTCAAGATTTAACTGTCCATACAAAAATTATTTTTTAGAAATTGTCCTTAAGTCTGTGACATAAGTGACATAAGGTTATACATAACATAATTAGATAAAATGCCATATCTGTGTGTATATATATATATATATATATAGTTAAATATATACCAGTTCACTTATTCATAATAAATATTGGAGAGAAAGCAGCTCTTACTAGTGTATTTTTTAAGGGGAAAATAGTTTTGCCACTCCTGACTTAGTTTAAAAATTATCATTACCAACAAATAAGTCCAAATGCAAGTGGATAAAAACAGAGGTTAACGTGTTATAACCACCAGCAGCAACACCCTGGTAACTGAATATTTCCACCCTCAAGTATCAGATCAACCACATCAACACACTGACCAAAAAGTGACATGTCAAGTGACAGGTGTACACTCACACAGTACATGAGCCTGCCTGGGGAAATACAGACATCTCCATCACTCAGAGGAAGTATACAGTGACAAAAAAAGAAACTATGACTTCCTAAAATGTAAGTAGTCTAGAAATGAAACATGCTCTTGTCTTTCCTCACCCGTTTGTTCCATTGGCTGAGCGAGTTGGTTGAGAAACAGTCACCTCAGCTGGACTCTGTCAACAGAAGAGAGAGGAGAATGTAAATACTGTCGATGACAACGCAGCACAAACCTGAGCCTGTCTTTAGAAGCGGTCAGGAGATCGCCGAGGTCCCTCAATAGTTTGACTTTGTGTTACAGTAGCCCCTCGCAGCCACTCCTGGCAGCCTCAGCACATAGCTGCTCTGTGCCTGTAATGCTTGGCTGTCACTTGTAAAAGAGGTTAGCTGGTGCAGAGAAATATAGCATACAAAACGGGCCCATTAAATATAGCTGCGAGGAACAGAGGAATCTTTTGTTCTATGGCATGCAAAACTCCAAATGCTTTTTTATTGCATTTACTCATTTATCTGAGGCAAACACAGTTGACCTAAACACACACACACAAAAGTCCCGGGGGAATACAAATCCAATTACTTTGTCAGTAATTACATTTGTCTGAGCTCAGGCTTGAGCTTTTGTTAAAGAAGAGTTCCGAAAAGAGAAAGCAACCTAGCGACAAGACGAGAGTGTTGGTAGCAGTGTTTTATTTTGCCTCGAGAACTATAAGCTTCCTTGCCAGCAGCACATATGCATAGTTGGTTTAATCACTTTAAAGTTAATCACTTTAAAATGACTCTATCTGTTGCCTTGGTCTCTTATTGTCAAGTAGTGTTATCTTTGGTGTAGGCCCCCAGTTCGTTGATGGTTGGCTCCAGCTCCACCTATAACTCTAAATATGTAATAGTGTTTTCAAACGGTTCTCCAGGTCAATTTTTTCATTTACTTTCATACACTTTTGCCCCTTCTATAGACTTTGGTCATTTATGCTATATTTACTACCTCTAAGGTATTCCAAGGATAGTTAACTACTATTAAAAAGAACATAGAGGGATCTTGAATTCTAAACACAACCTTAAAAACCCAAACGGTGAGATTGGTGTGTAATCTGGACCTATTCCCGGGGTGTAAGACAGTACTCTGTGTCCAATTACCCAGCCTGCCTTGTCTCTGAAAAGCCACAGCCTTGAGCAGGCTTCTGTGGCTGCCACAGCTCGGCTTGGGACTGATGGCCTACCTGAAACACTATCCAGGTCAGCTCTGGGCCCTGCAAGGTTCACACACCACACTTTACTACTAGGCCAACAGCTCTAAGTATAGCCCGTGCCCTGTTAAATGTGAGTCCTCGTTTCTTTTTCGGTGGCTCAAAATGAACACATAAAACATGGTCTATGAATTTATAGGCTGGTCTGTGTTATATTTACCACACACACACACGACTCAACGAGGAAACACTGAGGGTTCTGATTATAATGTGGCATTAATGTTTTATTAAGATACTGGAAATGGTAAACCAGACAGCCAATAACTAACTGCCTCTGTCTGGCACCTTGGAAAAACCAAGACAACAGCTACAGAGAAGAAAAACCCACACCGCCATGACAGAAATGACAAATCAATACCAGTCCTAATAACACTGAGTTAAAAAAAAAACTGTGTTGTGAATCAAAAGGTCTGTTATTAAATAAGAAGATAAAGAATCAGGTGTTAAAAGCTGACACACTTTATAAAAAGCAGTTTTCTAATAGAGTAAACAGACACGGGGAGGAACAAGGATAGCGTGCGATGAAGAACACTGGCAAAGGTTCTTTCTTTGGGAGGGCAGGGGATGAATCATTCCAGACTAAAACAGAGCACGGAGGGAAATAAGAAAAGTTGCTGTGATGTGTTCGTTCCATGTCTGACTTCTGCTCTGGATTTCTATAGGTCTACTCTCTTTCTCTCTCCCACTCTTCCTCTCTCTTCTTTTCCCCCCCGGGAGGCTGAGTAACCAGGAGGAAATGCTTGGGCTCAACCAGTGTCAGCCTGAAGACCAGATGTGGGGCCTGGAGGTGGTGAGGCAGGGACCCAACCGAAACCAAATATAAACCAGCGTACCATGACACCTCCAAAAACAGAAGTACGTAGTGATGGTTAAAGGGAATGCTGCGCAGCACTGAGGGACTGCGCCTGATTACTTCAAGTGGCAGTTCATTTTTACATGGCAGTGATCTCAGATTAAAACATGGACAGACGACAGAATAGTTCCTTGCTAAATTAACCCTGGGTTTACCCTTGTTTTAGAGGCTAATCCTACACAAATGTTAGCACCGACATAATCTCTCAACCTCAATGCGAGAGCATCACTTGCAACAAACAAGTGTGCCATCCATGGAATAGGAATGATGAATGTTAAAACGAACCTCAAATG